TAGTTTTCCTTTGAGGAAACATTATACTTCTTATCCATAAAATTATTTTTTTCTTTTTGTGCTCTGCCTCATTTCATCTCATCTTACGGACAAAACAGATCATTAAATTGAAAACTTCCCATTTTGCTCTGTCGAAAGCCTTTCTTTAGGAAATCTGAGCCATGAAAGAAAGTCAGAAGTTAAACCATGAATGAACATTTGAAAATCAATAAATATGCTATGGCAGGCATTCACTGATAATTTCCGACCAATCTTTTGATTTTCCCCAAAGAACATTCCGTATGATTTTTTTTTTTCATTCTTTTTTCTTATCATATATATCAAACTGAGTCATAGCTTACCTTGGGGGTTACCCTTTCAACAATCTGAAAAGGCTACTTGACTGAATTAAATGTCCTTTAAACCTGTGAAGGAGTCTACTTTGATTAAAACAAGATATAGAACCATATCACATGATGAGACTAAAGAGCATATTCAGATCCTCTAAAGTTGAAAATCTTTGAATTGGTGAAGTTGAATAAAAAGTACAGAATTATTTGCATAGCACTGGTACTTAAAGAACCGTTTGGTTCAATTCCTCCATACCTAATTCGTAGTAATTAAGATTTCATTCCCACATCTAGTCCTTTTGGTTTGTCTCTTTTGTCATGAATCATCTTTCTCAAGGAGAGACTCATTATTAGATTTGATGGAATGAGGATACTTTCAATATTCAATCCCATTCCTCTCATCTACACAACTATACCCTCTCCACTCTTTCTCTCTCACTCTTCCTATTCTGAGGGCATTTTGGTACATTATTTTTATTTTCATTAAATAAAATACTGAAGAAAAAATTCTTTCCCATATTCTTAGCATCATACCAAGACACATTCATAGTAATAAATATTCCATATCTGTTGTATCAAAGCAAAAAAATTCCATTTCTATTCTATCCCTAAACTTTCTATGAACCAAACAGATCCACCTTAGCATTCAATTTCATCAGCTACGTCTTCAAAGATCATTTCTTCTTCTAAGAAGTAGGGATCTAAAAGCCTGTTTCTTTTACCAATGTCTCTTCTTGTGGCAATGACATTCGACTCAACAGAAGCTGACAACTTTTCATTTAATCCAGAGAGTTATGGACAGTTTCACAAGGAATGGAAACTCCAGTAAAAGGCAGTGGAAAGCAGAATAATTGCAAAAGAAGCATCTATATTGTACAAATAAGATTGAAATGTCAAAATAACCTTCCCATGATAAGCCAACAACAGGCAATTACTTATGAAATAAGCAAAAGGCGAGGCTATAAATGAACCTAAATATGGTAATAAAAATACAGTATTAACTATTCACTTTTCGGTATTCTTTCCAGTGACATGTAACATTCATGGCAAAAGTCTTGCCTTATCATAAATTTGAAGGGGGCAAAACACCCTGAATATGATACCAAGTACAACAGCTAGCCCTCTACATACAATGCAACATAACAAACAGAACTACAATGTATAAACATCACATTACATACCGTTCTCAGCAGATTCATCATTCTCCTCCTCATCTCTCTGCTGCAGTTTCGCAATCTCGTTCTGCACTTTCTCGAAAATTTGCCTCTTCTGCATCTCCAATTCCTTTTGGAATTCCATCCTCATCTTTTCTAGTTCCACCATCTGTTGCCTTTTGTTATTTTCAATCTTCTCATATATCTCACTGAATTTCTGAATGGAATCAGCAAGTAATTTGAAGGAAGAAGTCTCATCATTGTTCCTTCTAGAACTTCTTTTCTTTGGCTGAAGTCCAACTGAATCTTCTTCGCCAGTAGACTCTGAATTCCCTGGACTATCCCTCATTTCATCACACACATTTGCACGGTTCAAATAAACTCGAGGGTTTGAGAAGACGTAATCTCCTGAGTCCAAACCACAAGATAGACCAGCTTGTGGTTGAGGAGAAGACAACAGTTTATCCATTGTACTAAAATAAACCCATTTACTAGTTCCACCACCCATTTCTGCTAATTTGGCCTTCTCCTTTTTGTACTTTTTCTTTAATGTGTCAAGTCTATTCCTACACTGAGTATCTGTCCTTTCAATTTTTGAAACTTCTTTTACCCTTTCTGCTACTTCTTGCCATTCCTCAGACCGGAGACTCTTTTTTCCACGTTGAATAAACCGGTCACCCCAAGCATTAAGAAGAACAAATGTCTCGTGCTCAGTCCAGTCAGTAAGGGAATTTCTGCCACCAAAGGACGGTTTAGGAGCTGAAGGGGCTGCAACTGCTGGTGCAGGAACACGGGGTGCAAATTCATAAGTTGAAATCAAACTCTTCAGCTTTCTCTTTTTTGGGTGAGATTCTAAATCATCTTCAATCCTTATGGTGTAACTTTTCTGCTTATCATCATCATCATCATCATCAGCACCAGCAGCAAAGTCATTATCACTATCATCCCCATCCCCATTCTCATCATCTTCTTCGTCATCACCATTGTCATCACCTCCTTTCTGGGGAACTTCAATGCTGTTACCTTGATCAACCTCATCATCCTCCTCCTCCTCCTCATCATCATCATCCTCCAGTTCTATATGTTCTCCGTTGTCTTCTTCCTCATAATCATTATCATCTTCAGCATACTCACTTCTAACTGGCTCAGAATGTTGAGAACTCCCAACTGGAAGTTTCTGACTATTCAAATAACCATAACCTTGGTGATGACTTACATCGTATGGGTCAGGAGCATACTTTGCATCATCCTCAGTGTCATCCATTTCGGAATAAAATACAATTGCAAGGAAGTGAAGCCACAGAACTAATATTTTTCTCCAGAGAGACAGTAAAGGAAGTAGCTCCTAGCTTCAAACAACAAGCCTTCAAGACAGCAAGATCATTAACTCCAATATCCCACTCAATGATTCACGTTCCTGAATCAGCCCCCAAGATCTCTTTCTAGTTTTTCGTAGGGTAGAGGTTATAAAATATTACAGGACAACCAGATCATCACCAAATATCAACTCTCAACCAATATTCCAACTAATTATCACGCAAAGGGAAGATCTTTTTTTCCCAAGTAAAATCGCCAAGTTTTGTTTCTTTCCAAGGACATATTTTTCTCAGAAACAAAGGCAATAAATACAGCTCCAATCAAGGGAAAACCCCAAATCAAAGACACATCACTTTTACCTGAAACGACGCAGCTTGACAGCTCCCAGATATGAAAGAATCCAAATTTCCAAACTTTTTCAAGAGAACGGAGCTCCCCAGATAGGCAAATTCTTTAATTTTTGGAACACAAAGGAATAAAACTCAGGATGAAAAAGGAGAGGATGTGAATTGGGAAAGTAGGGAAAGAAGTTGCAGAGTAAACCCGGCGACAAAGACGATTGATGCTAACGTGAGCTGGGTGCATTCGCAACCTCAATCACGACATTTTCATATTTCTCTCAAATTGTCCTGTTGCTCGGAGCTGGACATATGTTTGTAGATTCCTTATATCTGATTTGGGCTTATGTTGTTATTAGGCCTCCATGAGGGCCTGTGGTCCAATCACATAGTTCCTCCGTGTAATACATACAAATAAAAAATATAATTAAATAAAATAAATATTTTAAAAATGAAAATCATTTTCCACGAATAAATCTATCTCTCTCATGAATTAATGGTTCAAGCCCACATGAATAATTAATGGAGTCCGAACAACTAATATTAGCATAATAATTAATGAGAAAATATGAAAATTGATCATAAATATCTTAGGAATAAATGATCCCAAACCCCAAACAATTCTCTTATAAAAAGAATTAGAAGGGAGTAATTTGCTTAAGACTTGAAGTTTTGTTTATGAAAATTTTTTAATTAAATAAAATTACAATATGACATAAACTGAAATTTATTAAGTTATTTTTAATAGAGACTAAATAATTCAAACGAAAAGAATGTTAAATAAATACATCAGTAAAATATTAGTGCTTATCATCAGATCATTATCCACCGCCTTCTTAGGGTAAGTTGGTAGTTGATCATTGTTGTGTAAAAATCAATATCAATATATATCATAAATTTTTTTTAAAGAAAATATAATGAGAAAGTTTAGCCAGTTGGTAAGCAAAAATAAGCAACGGCTTACTTTAGAAATTTCATAAAAATATATTAAAAAATCAAATGAACTAAGTATAATACAAAGTTCAGTTACTGTTTTGATTTTAAAAAGTCACATATTATCACTTAACAATCAAGTGATATAATTTTATTAAAAAAAATTAACGGATATATAATTTTTCAATTAACAATAATACAATATTACCATGTAAAGTAAATAAATCAGAACAAATTTCTGTGCCAGCAAAAATAAAAAAGAACAAATTCATTATTAAGTGGTTAGTTTCTCCTTAAAAACCTAAATAATATATTCATCTTGTTCTAAATATAAGAATCAGTTAGTAAATTTGTATTTAATCTAACATATAAGCCATTAATTTATTTTATCTCTCATATTTATCTTTTTCTTTCAAAATAACTTATCTAAATTTTAAATATAAATTAATATATAAGCTAATGCTACATAAGAATATTTTAGAAAAATCATATTACATTTATTAAAATTAAATCATTTATTTAGATTTTTTAATATACTCAAATTATTTAAATATTTCATGCACTAAAAACCAACTGCTCATATTCTTTCCACTCATATATGCATAAGCCACACAAAAAAATATAGTTATGTTGTGTATATAAAAGAAAAAGAAAATATAGTTATGTATGATATTTATGTCACACAATACATTATTCTCCTCCCACCCCAAACGCACACTTCATATCTCTTCACTTACCAACTTCTTGCCCATAAACGGAAAAGAATTCGGTTACATTCCGTTACACCCAGAGCATTTCAACATGGAAGGGGCGGAACTTAACTAACGATCATATATATATATATATATATATATATAGCGAGAGAGAGAGAGAGCAGAAGAAAGAAAGCATCCTGTTTGATATCATACATTACCAGAAAATCACCTCCAATGGCAACCTCGTGCTTCTTGCGTTTTCAACTCTCCCACTACTTCTTCTCCTTACCTTCTTCTTCTTCTTCTTCTTGTCGATCTCGTTCTTGCACAAGCCATGCTCAGACTGAGAGCCAGTTCAGAGGAATCAGACTTCCCGGGGCAGCATGTTCCCGCCAAGAAACCTCAAGCCAGAGCTTTCTTCCCCCTCTGGGATTGCGACCCAATGCTCTTGTACCCATGAGTGAGTTCAAGATTCTTGTTGTTTCCATCTCGTCTGTTCTTACTTCTCGCCACAATGTTTGATGAATCTTGCAATCAGTATCATCATTCTGATCCGTTTAATGATTGTAACTATATATGCACTGAAGATTTTTCTCACTGCTTCCACTTCTGTTCTTAGTTCTTGCCATGATATTCCAGGAATTTGTTTGGTGAATGACTCTCAGAATCATCATTCTAATCCGTTCAATGAATATAACTTTGTGTGAGTGCGTGTGTAATATGTATATATGTGTGTGTGCGCGCGCGCGCACTGAAGATTTCCTTTCTTGAACCTAGTTTGTTTACGAGCATTCATCTTTTAGTAATTTATATGATTATTTCGTTGACTTCTGCAATTAATCATTTCCATTTCAGAAGAAAGCCAGGTGAAGACAGCAGTGCGCAACCAAAACAATGAGGTTCTGAAATGATGCTAACTTCATAATAATTACAAGTTATTATTCTTATATCATTTGGATTTTTCAAGTGTCCTAAACTGAGTAATAACTTGTATGACCAGATAGCAACTGATCAAGTGGGCAGACCATCATATACCTTTCAGTCTTCCCTAAGTGCTAGATTTGGATTAATTTCCTTAATGCTAGGCCTAATTCTTGGTTATGCAGTTAATCAGAAAGAAAGGACCGCCGCCTATGCAGTTATAGAAACAGTAAGCTTCTGCACAATCTTACTCTCAAATCTCTTGAAAACTTAATTTGCTGTTGATCAGAAACTTATTATTCATGCTTAGAATTTAATTGTTATTTATTATGTTCTGAGATATTACACATATTTTACTGGTTGATGTTCAAATTAGATGAGAAGGGAACTAAAGGAACTGGAAGATCAAATTTCTCTCCTGCAAAGCACCCATGGAGAACAGAATGCCTTGATGAGCATGGAATCTGGTATCTTTAAGCTTTCAGATAAACTCTCAAAAGTTTCAAAGTTGCTGAAAAGCAGGCTTGACGATGATGAACAACTAGAAACCAGAGAGCTCAGGACTGCAAAGGAAGAAGATCTGCAGAAATCAGAGGCCAAGCTCCAAAGTGTGTCCGATGAACTGAGAGATGCTCTGAAGAACAAAGTTATCATGCAGAGAAAATTAGGTCTTGCCCAGAAAGAGTTGGATACTGCCGTTAAAGATTTGAATGCGGAGAAAAAGTTAGTTGCTTCTTTGAAGGATCATGTCCAACTACTGGAGAATCAAGCGGTAAAAGAAAGAGAGCTTAGAAAATCTCTTGAATTGAAGCTGGAGGAGGCTACCGAATTAGTACGTTTAATGAAGGTGAAAGCAAATTTCCTTTTTAATCAACTAAAGGGTTTCAACTCTCGTATTCTCAGCCTTGCAGGTGAAAAAGAGGGTCTTCATAAGCTTCTTGCTGATGAAAGAAGAACATTAACACAGACCCAGAAAAATCTTGAAGATGCACAGAATCAGATCATGAAGCTTGGGCAGGAGAGAGAGGATTTAGAGAGCAAGGCAAATAAACTTGGGAAGGAACTAGATTCTGCCAAGGGTGCGATATTGAGCTTGAAGAGTCAGAAAGTTGTTGGAAATGTTGAAGAGTAAAGTGAAAGCAAGGTCACTGAACAATGCATAGACCTACGTTGTGCACAATTGAGAGATAGATACTGTGAAATGAGTTGTATACAGTAGTTGGTAAGAACAGAAGTTACAGAACAGTTCTTGTTGTCTTCTTTTTGTACTTTTCTTTATTGTTTCAATTCGATTCGATTCCTCCAGTTTTTTTTTTTTTTTTGTAAGAGTAGAGATTATAGAAGATTACAGGACAACCAGATCATCACCAAATATCAACTTTCAACCAATATTCCAACTACTTATCATGCAAAGAAAAGTGATATTTTTTCCCAAGAAAAGTCACCAACTTTTGTTTCTTTCTAAAGGAATATTTTTCCCGGAAAGAAAGGCAAGAACTATAGCTCCAATCAAGAGAAAACCCGAAATCAACAGAGCCCAAAACAAAGACACATTACTTTTACCAGAAACAACGCAGCTTGCTATTTCCCAGATATGAAAGAATCCAAATTTCCAAGCTTTTTGAAGAGAACGCAGCTTCCCCCCGATAGGGAAAATTTTGTAATTTTTAGACCAGAAAGGAATAAAATTCAGGATGAAAAAGACGAGGATGTGAGTTGGGAGAGCAGGGAAAGAAATTGCAGAGTAAACCCGGCGTGAAAGATGATGGATGCTAGCGTGAGCCGAGTGCATTTACAACTTCTATTACAGCATTTTCTTAGATGTGTTATCAGGCCTCCATGGGTGCTTGTGGTCCAATCATGTAGTCCTCTATTTATGTTACATTCTTTTTGTTCTTAATATAAGACATAATCGTTAAGTTAATTTTGGTCCAAAATATAAGACCTATTTTTTATTTTTATTAATTTTTTTGAAATCACCCCTGTGAATATTTCTTCAACCATAATCAAGTAAGTGAAGGAGGGAGGGTATTAAAAAAAGATGATTATGGTGTTTTAGGAGAAACATGACATATTTTTTATAATTAACTAACTTACCTAACTTTTTTAATCTAAATAAATTAGTTAAATAAGTGTTATATTAAGGATCGGAGAAGTAACATATAAATAAGCAAATGATGTAGATTAAAAATATAATTAACATTAATTAAATGTTTTAAAAATGTAAATCATTTTCCAAACGTAAGTAAATCAGGACAAATGTACGTGCCAACGGGAAAAAAAAAAAACTCATTATTGAGTCATTAATTTCTCTTACTAAAGCTTATACTCGTTCTAATAATGCATCTATAAGCAAAACAAGAAAAATGTAATTATGTATGATATTTATGTCACACAATCACAATACTCTCTTGTAGGCCAAAAAAGGGAAAAAGATTTACATTATTCTCTTCCTTATGTGTTCACTTGGCAACAACTTGCACAAAAATGGAAAAGAATTCGGTTACATTCCGTTACCACCAAAGTATTTCAACATGGAAGGGGCGGAACTTAACGAACGATCATATATATATATATATATATATGTATGTATGTGTGTGTGTAGCAACAGAAGAAAGAAAGCATTCTGTTTGATATCACGTACATTCCCAGAAAATCACCTCCAATGGCAACCTCGTGCTTCTTGCGTTTTCAATTCTCCCGCTTCTACTTCCCCTTCCCTTCTTCTTCTTCTTCTTCTTCTGGTCGACCTCGCTCTTGCACAAGCTATGCTCAGACTGAGAGCAAGTTCAGAGGAATCAGAGTTCCCACGGCAGCATTTTCCCGCCAAGAAAACTCAAGCCAGAGCTTTCCTTCTCCACCGGCATTGGGACCCAATGCTCTTGTACCCATTAGTGAGTTCAAAGATTCTCAGCGTTTCCATGTCGTCTGTTTTCTTACTTCTTGCCACGGTATTCCGGAATCAGTTTGATGATTGACTCTAGGTCTTCATTGTGATGTATCTTGCAATCGTTATCATAATTCTGATCCGTTTAATGAATATAGCTTCATTTTGTATGCATGCACTGAAGATTTTTCTTCCTGTTTCCATGTCTGTTCTTATCTCTTGCTACAATATTCGAGGAATTTAGTTCGGCGAATGACTCTAAGCCTTCATTGTGATGAACTTGCAGTCAGTATCATCATTCTGCTGCGTTATAATGAATATGACTTCAAGTATATTATATGCACCGAAGAACTTTCTTACTGTTTTCATGTCTGTCCTTACTTATTGCCAAATATTCCAGGAATTAGTTTCGTGAGTGACTCTCTGCATCGTCACTCTGATCCGTTTAATGGATATGAATTTATATGTCTACATATATATGCATTAAAGATTTGCTTTCTTGAACCTATTTTATTACGAGCACTCATCCTTTAATAGTCTATATAATTACTTCATTGACTTCTGCAATTAATCATTTTTGTCTCAGAAGGAGGCAGGGTGAAGACAGCAGTGCACAATCAAAACACTGAGGTTTTCAAATGCTGTTAATTTCATAATAATTACGGGTTATTATACTTTTATTATTGGGTTTTCTCAAGTGTTCTAAACTGAGTAATAACTTGTATGAACAGATAGCAACTGATCAAGTGGCCACATCATTATATACCTATCAGCCTTCCCCAGTTGCTACGTTTGGATTAATTTCCTTACTGCTAGGCCTAGTTCTTGGTTATGCACTCAACCGGAAGGAAAGGGCTGCAGCTTATGAAGTTATAGAAACAGTGAGCTTCTGCACAATCTTACCCTCCAATCTCTTGAAAACTTCGTTTGTTGTCGATCATAAACTTATGATTCTTGCTTAGAATTATGGTTTTCATTATGTTCTGAAATATTATTTTTATATTTTACTGGTTGATGTTCAAATTAGATGAAAAGGAAACAAATGGTACTGGAAGATAAAATATCTTTCCTGCAAAGCAGCTGTGGAGAACAGAATACCTTGATGAACCTGGAATCTGGAATCTCTAAGCTTTCATTTGACCTCTTTCAAGTTTCGAAGTTGATAAAAAACAAGCTTGATGATGATAAACAACAGAAAGTAGAAACCCTAACCAAAGAGCTCAATACTGCAAAGGAAGATCTGCAGATATCACAGGCCAAGCTCCAATGTTTTACCCAGGAGCTGAAAGCTGCTCTGAAGGACAATGCTATCATGCAGAAAAAATTGGGTGTTGTCCCAAACAAGTTGAATACTGCAACAAAAGATTTGAATGTGGAGAAAATGTTAGTTGCCTCTTTGAAGGATGATGTACAACTATTGGAGAATCAATTGGTAAAAGAAAGAGAGCTTAGAAAATCTCTTGAATTGAATCTGAAGGAGGCCACCGAATCATTAGATGTAATGAACCAGAAAGTAAAGTTCCTTTTTGATCAACTGAAGGATTTCAACTCTCTTATTCTCAACCTTCAAGGTGACAAAGAGGGTGCTCAAAATCTTCTTATAGTTGAAAGAAGGACATCAAGACAGACCCAGAAAAATCTTGAAGATGCACAGAATCAGATCAAGAAACTTGGACAGGAGAGAGAGTTTTTGGAGAGCAAGGCAGATAAACTTGAGGAGGAACTAGATTCTGCCAAGAGTGAGATATTGAGCTTAAAGAATCAGAAGGTTAGTTCTTCAGAAGTTGTTGAAAATGATGAAGAGTAAAGTGAAAGCAAGGTCACTGGAAAATGTATAGAACCACTTTGTGTATAGATGAGACATAGTCGTATTAGATATTGTGAAATGATTTGTATACAGGAATAAGTTCTTGTTGTCTCATTTTTGAAGATCAATCAAGTTTTTGTGTTAAAGGATCTTAATTGGTTGGTTTTGCTCATTTCACTTCAATAGTTCTTTTCACATCTTTGGTGGTATTTTCTATAGAGTGATTTTTAGATGCTTTTATATTTGAAGTGTTTTGTCTGGCAATTTTATATTTTTAAGAGTAATTCTCTGATTAATTATTAATGGAAATTGCACTATAAATGGACTATTATATTAAAAATCGAAGGTGTAGTATTTTGTTTATTAATTTCTACCGATCATAGAGTGAGCATTTCAAATAAGAAATGGGATGGAAATAATTATTATTAAACTACAGATGACATTAGAAGCAAGAGATGACATATGCATAATTATTATGTTATAAATACGTGATCCAAGTTGAGGAAACACAAATAATATTAAATGAGATAAATCATCAAAATGATTGGCTTGGCTTGAAATTTCTTATCATTTTTTTTAACTGATCTTGGCATATTTGCAGACTTAAAATATTCCACAGTAACACTAAGTAGGAAATTTAAAATTTTCTTTTGAAATAATTTAATTATAATTTATTAAGTAGGAAATTTAAATGTTTCTTTTGAAATAATTTAATTATAATTTATCCTTTTATTTTTATAAATATATAAAAATCAATTTTTTACTTTTTATTTGAAATATTTTTAAATAAAAAATTTTATAATACAAATATTAACAATTTAGATTAAAAAAAGAATAAGAAAGATATAAGTTCAAATAATTAGGAACCATAGAGGCCGCAATCGCATCCAAATTTCACATTTCTCAAAACGACGAGTAATAACAGTAAACAGCACATTCGCTGTTTCTCTGGTCTGGTTCTGCAAATCGTCCTCGCGAGTCAATTCAATCTCGCGTAAAAAGTTCGCTAGCCGGAGAGACCCTTCCAAATCTCAAATATTCTGTTTCTTCTCGATCTCAAGCTATTCATTCAAATTTTCTCTGGTCAGGTTCTGGGCAAGTTTTCTCTTTTGAGGCCGGAGCCTGTCTAAAGTATTTGTAGGAATTCGCTACCGCATCAACCTCCGCAAGAAAGTAGCAATCTTTTCATATTTTTCTGTTTTGTTTACTGTGATTCACTCATGTTTTTCCTTCTTCGGGAAATTATTGGTGACTTTCTTGCACTTGTTTCGCTGTTAAACAGTTATTGCTTCCGGAATCTGGATCTGAGCGTCTATATTTCTGAGTTCGGGTTTGGATGGTGAACTATCCAATGAATGGAATTGAAGATTGAATGCAACTAAGCATGATGATGCTTTATGAGAATTTGGGTTCCTAAAAATCGATCACTTTTCTGAAG